GCGGTTACACAGGGAGCCGAGTCACCGGGCTCCAACTCTGAAAGCCAAACAAGCTCCACGCTAACAGCAGTTATGCGTCTTGCTTTCTGAGGGTCTTATTGGTTTTTGCTTCGGGTGGTCTTGAGAATCACACTGCTCTATCCCCTGTGCCTGTTTTTGTCTTTTTTTTTTTTTTTTTAATCCACAGAGCCTTTTTATTTTCCCCCACATCATACCCTTGTAATTTGCCCTGTGGCTTTGGACACACCACACTGTCCCTTGGAGCCTCAGTTTCCCTTTCAGATACCTTGGGATGAGTTGAGCCCTCGGTTAGTTTTAGCATGGAGGGGTCCCCTTGTTTCCCTCGCTGTTCCCTGCAGATGGTCAGGAGGAAAAGGCAGTGAAGGAGAAACACTGGGTTGTCCTCGCTGGACAAACTGCTTTTGGCTGTTCTGTAGCACCCTGGGCTTCTCGGAGAAGTACTTTACTCGGTCAAACATAAGAAAGTAAAAATAGAAAGCAGTCTTGCTGGGCGATCTTTATAAAACATCAGCTGTGGCAGTTTGGGATGTCTTTTGTTATGGTGACCTTGTACCAAAATAAGCAAATCAGAAGCATAAGTGACTCTTCCCCTGAGGTTTGGGAGAGGGTCAAAGCTTATTTCAGGCTTCCCTGAGGGGAGCATCCTGTTTACCCCTTCCCAGGGTGAGTGTGGACTCAAACTGCCTCAGAGCTCTGGTCAAAGGCCCCCTCTTTCGGGAAGAATGAGGTTCTTTTTAGCGTGTGGGTCCTGCTAGGTTCCCATCCTGGATTGGGAAGCAGACAGACACTGTGGGGCACACACTGGTGGTGAGCGGGATGGAGGAGAATTCCGCTCAGTGGCTGCCTGTGGGCCGCCCCTCACTTGCTCCTGAGGCACAGTGACGCCTTGTTACAGCCCAGATTGTCCTGGGAATGAGAAGTCCTGTGCTCCCCCTCCTCCTTCCAGCCCAACCTCCCTCCCCTCCCCTTACAGAAAAAAAAATTCCTTCCCCCTTTCAGCATCCGTGTCTTTAAGAATTCCCTCCATTGTAGCCCTGGACAGAGACCCTTCTGTAAGTGCGCTGGAGGCCTGTCCTGGGGACACCCCGCCCCCCCTATTAAAAGACCATCGGAACAAGCTCACCATTCTCCTCTGGAGAGGGTCCCTCTGTCCCAGGCCAAGGGACTCTTAAGGGAACGTTTATCCTGGGACACTCAGTTTACAAAGACTGCTGCAGTGTCAGATAAACTCACTCAGCCCTGTGGGGAGGGGTGGGTTGGGAGGAGGACAAAACCCCCTTTATTCCCACCCCTGCGGGGAGACCAATAAAGACTTTGTGCTGGAGAGCAGGGGTCTGAGCAAACAGATGAAGGGGTCTGTGTTGGCATTGATGTGTGAGAGCATTATGGGCTATTATCTTATCGTTTGAGTTTTGGGGGAAGTCTTGGCCTGGGTGGCTGATGGCGAGGTCCAGTCAGGTAAAGTGATCCTAGATTCCCTGCTCCTGCCTCTTGGGCAAGTCGGTTGCGGTTTGCAATCCCTAGGTGGTTTTTTCTACTATTTGGATAGGGCAAATACCAATTCAGTGGACCAGGCTCCAGCCGTGTGTGTTGTAGAAGATTCGTGGTCTCAGCATCATGGGATAAATTTGGCCGTGTGTGTGTGTGTGTGTGTGTGTGTGTGTGTGTGTGTGCGCGCGCATGTGTCCATCCCACCTGCGATGTATGTGCCTGTTTCGTGTGTGACACCATCTAGTGTGGTTTTGACCACACATAGCATAGAGGTTTCACTCAGTTGTGTAAAACCGGTCATTTGTGAGAGAAGAGCATGACGGATATTTGTAGAACACTTACTAAGCACTGTGAGTTGTATCAGCATCTCATTTAATCTCAGGGTTTTGTTGAGGAGATAGATCTTTTCTTGAGGAGATTGATCTTCCAGACCAGCAGTGCAAAGCTCAGAGAGGGAAAGTGACTTGCCTAATGTGACCCAGCAATCCTTGAGGATCCAGCTCTGCTGCATCGATCTCTGTCTGCTGCAGACTGGAGGCTGGGCTTAGCCAGGGCCCAGGGCAGCTGTAAGGGGTGGGGTTGGATGGGACTGAGGGACAGAGATCACAGCAAGACTGGGGCTACTGCTAGGCCTCTGCTTTCTGGCAGCTGGTTTGGGGTTTGCTTTTGCCCGCTGCCCTTCTGCCCGCCTCTAGCCTCTTCATGTGGCACTGGGCACTGAGGTACAGGAGGTGCCCGTCTGCTTTGGCAAACAAGCTGGATTGACGTGTGGCCACTCAGGACCCTTTGCTGGCAGCGTCAGGACAGAGGAGCCCCCCCCCCCCCACAGCCCCCAGCTCTGACCCTGTCCTCTGCAGAAGTAGTGGGGCCCTGACCTTGATATGAGAGAGAGTCGAGCAGGGTCCTGGAGAGGGAGGGGCCCGCACTCCATCTGCCACCTCTGCTCTTCTGCCCCATCCCGGAGGAGGCAGGCTGGGTGCAGTCAGGTGGATGAGGAGGATCTCTCTAGGTGGGCTTCGTGGCTGAGTTCAGAGTCCATGTTTACATACGGTAGCTGCAAGGATGGCCAGGGCTCACAGTGCCTGGACAGAACGACCCCAGGGTCCCCCTTGCCTGAAACCGCCTGGTCCCACTGGAGCACTGAGATCCTTTCTCCAGGGCTGCCTGGATCATGAAGCAGGATCACCCCGAGTCAGGCTCGCTGTGAGTTGCTGGGCAGGAGTGGAGGAGAGAGGTCAGTGGGAACCTCACCTCCAGCAGGTGGAAGAGGCTGCAGGCTCTGCAGACCCCTGGCCTGTAGGAGGCTGCTTCCGGTCTCAGAAGGCACAGTATCTCCCTGCTGGTGCAGGTGTCTGGATGCAGAAGCAGAGATGTGGGAGAGGGTGGTTTGGGAATCAGTGTGTACCTAAGAGCAAGTGATGGGAGGAAGAAGCCATGCTGCGCCCCCCAGCCCAGCCTGTGGACAGGGTGGTACCTGTGGTGAGCTAGCCAGGGAGGAAGCCTGGTGGGGAGGGAAGAGCAGAGCAGGGGAGCAGGAGGTCTTGGCTTGGGGAGGGGGATAATGAAGGAAGGTGGCCACCAGACTCGGGGAAGCAGCAGTGGCCCATTTTAGATATGAAGGATGGTCTCGGCATCCATGGTATTTTCCAGGACTGGACCTATAAAATGAGCATTTCTGTGCTGAAGCCCCTGCCGACCATGGGCTAGAGAATGATCCTCATGGAACACCTGCAGTGGAATGAACAGTGTCCTCCAGATGGGGCCCAACCGAGGTTAGGGATGGGATGGGTTCTGTCTCTGTCACTGCTGGCAGGTGGCTGCATCTCCAAATGTGCTGTGGTCATGTCCTTACCTTTACCATACTGAGACACCTCCAGCATGGGCTGGTGGGTACTGAGGCACCATCTGTGCATCATGTGGGGGTTTCAGTCTCATCAACATAGATTGCACATATACAGGAGTAGGCCGAGAGTTACGCTGGATCCCGATTGAAAGATCTCAGTCTGAGTCAGAGCTTTTGGTATTTCCCAGCTAGGTGATCACAGAAGTTACTGTTCTTTTCTCCTTCTCTGTGAATTTCCTAGTCCAGATACCTGCAATGAGTTGTGTCTGGCTCTAAACGATAAAGCAATTGAATGTTTTGGGATGTGGAAGCACGAGGCTTTACAGACTCATTCATCTCGTTCTTCCCACGGGTCTCCTTATGGCCCAGGCCCCTCCTGCCCTGAGTCATCCTGAGCCCATGGGACCCTGGCAGAGGTGGCACTGGAGACATGAAGGGGCCCTTGCACCATACAACCTGAAAGAGGGTGGGCAGGACAGGTTGGGATCCGCGGTGGCAGTGTTAGGGGTGGTTGACTTTGCCTCAGTGCCCATAGGTGCTGGGTGTGGGTGGGACTAAAGGTAAGGTCAGGGCTTGGAGCAGCTGGCTGTAGAGGTCCAGGGCCTGCTATCCTTTGAGTGTCTTTCTCTCCCTTGCGAAGCTAGAGGTTCTGGGAATTCTTTTGCAGACTCGTGAACCCCTTGAGGCCAGAAAGGTCCGCGTTCCTGCCTGTGTTTGGTAGGAGGACGTGCGTCTCTCATTTTGGCTTGTTCCTGCGGGCTGGTGCACCCCACATTCCAGTAGCGCAGGAGAGCGAGCCCTTCCAGTGGATGGTCCCTTCCCAGAGCAGGTCTGGTGGGGGAGGAACGTCACTCTGTGCGTGGCTGTATCTCTTCTCTGCCTCCTCATCATTTTCAAGAAGGGAGGAGGAAGCCTTCTTGTTGATGAAAGATGTTTTGGAAATCATAACCAGGCATCCTTCTGTTTTATCATTGGTGCTATTAATTACTGCTTGTCTGGAGCCAGAGGGGGACCGCGTTGAGTGGGCCACAGACACTGCCTTTCTCGGGATGGACTCTCCATCTGATAACACAGGGGTGGCATCTTGGGCACAAATTGTCCCTCTGTCTCTCGCTGTCCTTCTGCTTCTCCCTCTCCCCCACCCTTGATCTAAAGACGCTGGTTCTTCACTTGGGGGAGGGGGACATTTAGCACAAGGGAGACTTCAGACAGGCAGGGCTGAGAGGGCCAAGGAGTTAGTGGCAGGAGGTGGGGGAGCGATGTCATTTATTAGGTCTACAAAAACAATACGGGGTTTGTCTCCTAGGGACAGTGGTGCCCAGGGAGGCAAGCCAAGATGGGCTGGAGCAGAAAGAAAACAAGCACAGGTCTGACGAAAATGTGGTGACCCTGAGGAGCGGGGAGAAAAGCACCTTTGTGTGGGGAGGTCAGGGCAGGGAGAGGGCAGGCGAGGAGGACTCGGGCTCAGGGAGAACTGCCGGCTGTGTTCTGGGATCGTGGCCCCAAGGAAGGGCTTGTGATGAGCAGGACACCTAGCTTGCCGGCAGTTTCTGTCCCCTCTGTGCCTCCCAGCGGGGCGGAGAAGAGTCCTGCTGGGAGTGAAGGGGGATCAGCTGGGATTGGGCCCAGGTAGGCTCTGGTTTTGCTCAGTGCTCAGTGTGCCTGCATGGGGCGGTGCCAGGCAGACATGTCTCAGAGCTGGTGGCAGCCCCGTGGGACCTGGGCAGGACACCAGTGGAGATCTCGTGTCTGGAGGCTGTGTGAGGGAGTGAGACCCGGACAGTCCCGGACCAGCCCCTGAGCAGCGTTCCACCATTCCGTGCTCTCCACGTGGCCTGTGATGTGCATTTCCAGCCCAGTGAGTCGCTTTTGCGTCTGCTTGTTGACATTTCTTAACTGAGGGGTTTACAGATCCCTTCTCTTCTTGCAGAAGCACTGCCTCCCCTGGCCTGACCCTGGAGTCCTGGGTGACTCCAGGTGACCAGCAGGGACAGCAGCAGCCTGGGACGAGCGGCACCTGCTCTTTGGTGGTCTCCTTCCCTAGACAGCTGCCCTGACAGCCCCGATAGGCACCGAGGGCAACCTTGGGCTGCCACCACCTGCCGCTGGAAGCTGGGGTGGACCATCCTTGTGGGTGTGGCCCTCTGCCGTGACGGACTTGGGCAGGACCACAATAGGATGACCCAGGGGCCTGGTGGGCCCCTTGTGCTGCCTCTGAGGAACCAGTTCTGGACTGTCGAGGTGCCAACGGCCTGGGCTGTGGCAAAGCATCCATGACAGGTGCTGATGGAACTAGGGAACCCGAGTGGTTCTCGCACTTGTCCTGACACCTGTCCACCTGGGTGCAGGCACACGCATGCGTATGGGTGCTCAGTCACATGCACACGTGTAACGTGCATTCCTCACAGGAACCTAGGAGGACGGCATTCTTATTATCTCTATCCTCAAGGTGGGGAAACTGAGGCACAGAGAGGATAAGTAACTTGCTGCAGGTCACGCAGCTGTTAAGCGATGCCCCAAAGCCCAGCCGTCTGCCCTAGAGCCAGTGCTCCAAGCGCGAGGCAACAGTGGCGCCAGCAATCATGGTGGCTGTTCTGTGCCGGGTGGGCCCTGTACTGGGGATCTGAGCAGTGTCTTGTCCTCAGCACTTCCTGCCCAGGCTTTCTGACCTTGCTTCCCACCTTGCGAAGCAGTTGAAGGGCTTGACCTCCTCTCTCTGGGCCTTGTGGTTTGATTAAGTCAGAATGACAGGCGGAGAAGGGCTGTTTCCTGGCCGTTAAGGTAAGTGGGAGATTGGAAACAAGTCCAGCCCTCCTCTCAGCAAGGAAGGACGTGACTCTACTGTCCCACTGTACCTGCCACCCCAGAGCTGGTCTGGGGGAGTCTTGGCATTCCCACCCCTTCCCAGACTTCCCTCGCTGTGGCTGATTTCTCTTTTTCCCACCTGATTTTCAAGGCAGTTGTGTACTGTACATAAAAATCAAGAAACCACTCACTTATCGCAGGCCCCTTCCTCCTGGCCATCCCAACCCAGTCCAGGGAGAAAGGACAGAGGGGCCATTTATGCATTCAGTAAATGGGTATGAAATGCCTGGCTTAGGCAGCAGAAAAGACACTGAAGTTGACACAGCCCCAGACTTCCAGGGGCCCTCAGCTGGGAGTTGGGAGCAGGGTGTGAGCTGAGCCATCCAAGGGGCAAATAAGGACAGAATGCCAGGACCCGGGTGGGGTGTGCTGGGGTCGGTCAGCCTTGAGGGTGGGCCTGGGTGGAATAATGCACGGGGTTGCTCGGTGGTCAGGGTCCACATGGCAGAATCAGAAAAGGTGGGAAGGCTTGTTCCAAGGCATGCGGCTGGCAGGTCGCTTGTCTGGGGGTCAGGAGGCTCAGGGCTGGGCTAGAGGCTGTCACAGTCTGCAGGCAGGGCCAGGTAAGATGGTGGCAGATGCTGGATTTGAGGGTGGGGCACTGGTTAAGGAGGCTGCGTTCCCAACCTGGAGGGTCTGATTTCTCTGCTGACGTTTCCTAGAGTTGCTGTGAGGACCATCTCTGCTACTATTGAAATCATATTTGTCACTTAGAACATCTTGGCCTCTCAGTAGACTCCCACCTCTCTGTCCCGCAGTCACACACTCATGCAAGAATCCCCCTTGTGCAGTGCACGTTAGCGATACAGAGTAGTGATGCTCATGGTGAGAGATTGGTACATTCGTGTAACATTGGTCATTGGCAGCCTCTTTAACCCCTTCCCTCTTTTAGCCTCCTTTTCCCCGATTCCTTTCTCCATTTCCAGGAGTAAACCTTCCGATTTCCTCTCATTTCTCCTTTATTGTATATTCCGTTATTTATATTTTAGGTTTCTCATCTAAGAGAAAACGTGCAACATTTAAAAACTTGGTGATCTCTTTTAGTCCTGCCTTGTATTTGAGTTTTGCAGAATCATGACCTCAGGGCACATATCTAGATTCTTACTTTTTTCTTAACCTTTGGATTCTTTTCCCACATTCTTGAACCCTTGTTTCTGTGTTTTTTGTTAGTGCTGGCACCGCACAATGGATATCATAATTTGCTTAATATAACTGTGGAGGGTTATTGAGTTTAGTCTCTAGCTAACCGATGCTCTGAAACTCCCTTCCCCTGCTCTTTCCTTTTTGGTTCAGCGGGCTGTTCTGTGCCCTGCAGCAGTGTGAGGGGCGTGGATCGGCAGCAGGTGGGCGGCTGGGCTGGGTGTATTCTGATATTCTGACCCGGTGGTTGTGAGGCCTGGCCGGGACTCAGTGCCCAGGCCCAGACCTGGGGCTGTTCGGGTGCAGCCTGGCTTCCTTGTCCTCCTCTATCCTGCTCCTGAGCTCCATGTCCTGAAGCGTTGAAGGCTCCTCCGTTCTGTCCCTGGACCTTCCAGACACACAGCTACCACTTGAAGACCCTTTTGTTCGATTAAGTGGTTTTCCAGGCTCAGGCTGGAGTGCACAACTTTGGGGAGGTGCTCAAAGGAGAAACTCGAGTCCCTGGCTCTCCTCTGTCTTCCCGGTGCTGGGAGGATCCTGGACGCAGGAGAGTTGGACAGCGGCGAGCAGCCTGCACTGGGATCCCGTCCAGGCAGGAGCTGGAAAGTCTGTCCTTCACTCTTAACCCCGCACAGGCTCAGGAGGTTGGAGTGCTAAGCAGATACCCCTCGAAAAAGAAAAGCTGCATTGTCCTCCTCATGCTGATAGCCTGATCTCCAGAGCCACCAGTGCCCTGGCTTGAGAGGCCCTAAGTGGAGCTGCCAAGTGCATGCGCGTGTGCGGGTACACACGAACCCCAGTGGTGGGCAGACTCACTCTACCCCGGAAGAGCTCTTCTGAGGAGCTCCGTTTGTGAGAGGAGAGGAGGATGGGAAAAGTCAGGAAGAAGAACAAGCGAGCGAATAATGCTGAGGCCATTGTGTTTTCCTCACCACACCTTGGTATTAAAACAGCGTCAGAAGGTTGGGAAAGCAGACAGTGGCCTGCAGACGAGATACAGCTGGTGTCTCCTGAAGCCTTTGCCTAGATATCCGTGTCATGTTGCTGTATGGAGCCGCCAGGCTGATTCTCCGGATGTCCCCGCTTCCCCTTTGGCCCATCAGCCCTTTCCTGTGTCCAGGCTACCTGGATAATCTTGAAAAGGACTTGAGGACTCTGGGTCTGTGACCAGTTTTCTTAACCAGACCCCGATGCTCGGCCTTTGGGTTTTTTATTTACTTCTTTTCTGTTTTTATTTTCTTCCTTTCCACAGGACCACAGTGTATAGTTTTATATGCTTGTGCCTTTACAGTTTTTAAGTCATAGGGACCCTTGAATGGGTTTGAGTCTCGGATCTGGTGGTCCAAGCCTCAGCCAATTCCTTGAGACCCTGGTGAGGCTGGGGAGAGGGGGAGAAATGTGCAAGCCATTCCTGGTGCGCGCTCAGCCAGGTGTGTTCAGCCAGGTGTGCTTACTGGGGCAGCAGTGGACACCTGTGGGATGATCAGTGGGGAGCAGGCTATCACCTTGTTCCCCTTCTTCTGAACCTCGTAGTCTTCTTCCAAAGCAAAGCTCTCAGTATGTGTAAGCAGTCCTCTGCTTCGTGGTCACTGGGGAATGAGGGGCACCTGAGTTCCCTGTCCCCTCTGTGCCATCTCCCACCTGCCTTCCTTCTTCCATGGGGAAACACTCTCTCCTCCCTTCCCCACCTTCCCCCGCTGCGAATCCCCAAAGTTTCACACCCCTCTTCATGAAGAAGGGCCAGCAAGCCTAGCAGCCAGCCCTGGTCAGAGCCCCAGGTGAGGGGCCGTTTATTGCCCAGCTGGGAGACATGGGCTCAGCTGGCTGCCTCTGGAACCCCAATCCAAGGGCTGATTCTCCACCCACTGCCCACGAGCCTGAATGATCCAAGAGAGGCGGGGAGAATGTGTGTATGGACTGCGTGGCGCTGTGACCACCTACTTAGCTCCTTTTGAGGACCATTGGCTTTTACCTGGCTAACATCGTAACATCAGTCATGGAGGTTTCGGCCTTCCCTGACTCCAGCCCCCATGCCTGTTAAGTGGGGAAATAAAAACTGAACGACAGCATGCAGTGGAATGTCACACAGCCGTGGGAGGGACGAGGTGTGGGCGTGCCACGCTGCATACGAACTGTGCAGACACTGGGTTAGGAGGCATCGGGCCATTGGCGCCTGTTCCATGCATGAGAAGCACCGGAAGAGGCCAGTAGAGGCCGGAAGTAGGGGAGTGGTTACAGGGGCTGGGGTGGGGCCAGTGGTGGATGACGAGTGGGTCCTGTGTCCTTTGGGAGATGGCCCTGCTCTAGTGCTAGAAGGATGTGATGCTTCAGAACATTGTGAGTGTGCTTGTGCCACTGCACTGCACACTTCAAGCCGCTTAAAATGGCGGTTTTGGGTGTGTGTGAGTGCTGCTATGGCGCATATACCTGGGGATTCAGGGGCTCTGCGGACTTCGCAATGGGTTTGTTTCAGGATAAGGCTCAGATGGACCCTGACTTAGGACCCTTGGACTTGGGGTTTTTCAGCCTCATGCTGGCTCAGAAGTGATATGGATTCAGTAGAAACTGCACTTGGAGTTTTGATTTTGATCTTTTCTGGCCAGTGCTGTAATTATCTGCTGTGGTACCTGGTGGGGGACCTCGAGCTCAGCTCCCAGCCAGAGATCCCAGGGAGGGGATGCTGGGCTGGGGTGTTCACCTGGTTAGCTCTGCTAAATGCAGTTCCCACTGGTGGTAACTCCACTTATGACCGGTTTAATCAGGATGCAAGCCCAGCATACCCCGAGGAGCTTGGCTTTCTGACACCATCTGGCCCAAGGTCCACCCAGGATTAGGTAAGAACCTGTTAGAAAT